ATGATTAATCATTTAATAAACGACTCAGATACACTTTACAATATACTCAGAGAGAACAAAGTTACATTTATAATGCCTGCAAAATATTTGTTATAAATGGCTAATCAATTAATTTGCCTTAAAATAATACACTTTTTATTCTAGTAATTATTATAATTATTAGCCATAATGTCTATTTTTCTTTCTTTTTTTGTCTGATGTTTATTTCTCATTTACTGTATATATTATTAATTTAATGATGTTAATATATAACATACTTTATGCATATCTAAAATGCTTCGGCAATACTGTAAATGTGAAGCCACAAAAGCAACTTTAGAGAAACTGAGAGCAGCCTTTACCTGTCAGTGGGTACAGATGGCTCCTAAATAGCACAAATGTAAGAGAAACAGGGGGGTTGTTTTATTTCAACAGCCTTTTTTTTAAACTACTCTAACCCATTGAAATGAAAAGGTGTATTAGTGTCATAATAAATAAAAATATAGTTAAAAATCACATTTTTGTTTTTGTCTCTTGTATGTAGTTGACCATTTATGTGTTGTGGGTAAAAAGTGTTTCAATCCGGCTACTGCTACAAGTATATTTCAAACCTGTGGGAAGCACTGATGCCTAAACACAAACATTTTACTACGTTTAACATTTTTGTTTAATTTTTTAAACCTCATAGAAGTTGCGTATGAAATGAGCAAAGTTTGTTAAAATTTGTTTTAAAAAATATATCGTTTTGCTATGAAGCTGACAGTATTTCTGTCTTCTGGATTATCTTTGCTGCATTTTCAGCTGCTCTGGCTTCTGTTAAAGCTGTTTATGCTTACAAATTTTACTATAAAATCGTTGCAATTCAGTATAAAACAGAGATCATCTAAATTGTTGAATGTTTTGAGCAAAAAAAAAGGTCTGATTTCAATTTGTGGCCGGTCGATCAGTGCATCTCCACAGAGGCAAAAGCGACAACGCTTCCCGTTGAGAACACAGATGGCCTGAACGTTAGCTGCTCTCCACAGAGTTACCAGGGCAAAGGGAGGCACTCAGCTGAACAGAACTGCACAAGACCAGTCTAATATAAACACATATGCACTGGAGAAGAACTCTCTAAAAACAAATGTACTTCCTCAGCGCTATGATTACTCTAGTCTATAGTGAGAATGCTGAGAAGATAATCCACAAAATAGAATTAGTACTTCTCAATCCACATATATTGTAACAGGTTATTTCTAACTGACCAAAATGGATTTTGTTATGACTGATAATGCCAATTTTAATGACACACAACAATTAAGCCTTTTTAATGAGGATATAAATATAAGGAGTAGTTTAATAATACATTTTATATTGGATTCAAGTCAGGTGATTGGCTGGGTCATTCTACTTTTTCTCAATACATGTTGGACAGGAGCAGCTAATATTAAATTACAATGAGGAAGGGCAGGGGGGTGCTAAAAAACTACTGAGAGATTTCAGCTGCTGTTTCGGCTTTCACTGCCTTTTTACAACTCCCTTTCTTCATGTGTTCAATACAGTTTACTTGTGTCGTTTAATTTTTATTACACCTTTTTTTACACATAGCTTAGTTTGTAAACTAATTAGATTTGTTTTGCTTTCATATATATATATATATATATATATATATATATATATATATATATATATATATATATATATATATATATATATTTGGTTGTTATCAAAATCTGGTGAAAATTTTCTAGCCAACAGCAAATATGCTTTCTAAGAAAAATTATGATGTGTTGAATACTTTTTCCCCAACTGTATACAAATATGGGGAAAATAATAAAACATTCAGTTTCTCTGGATTTACAAACTGTAGTAATGTGTTTAATTAAAATATATTTTTGATTTTATTCTGTAAACTATTAATGATGACATATATTTCAAAGAAATATAAACAATGTTAAAATAACAATGTTGTCATATAAATGTGCCATGTTTAAAGTTTATATTCGTTTTAAACAACACAATACCAATGTTTAATGCTATACAAGTTAAAAAAACCAAGAATTGGTGCAATAACACTGTTTATTCCTACCTATTGTAATTTTGTAATTAAAAAAACAACAACATGCAGAAGTGAATTTTGCATAATATGTCCCTTATTTTCAATATATTCTGAGATGTTGTTTGTGTGATATATTTCATATATATATCACACAATATACATATATATAGTATATAATCTATAGTGCAGCTTTTTATATTTATGTTAATTTATTTATTTATATTTATGTTTTTAAATATTTTAAGATGGTGTATGTTATGGCTTATCTGAATATTCATCAATAGTAACTGCAGTATTTAAAAGTTCTGTGCTTAAACTTTCAGCACATGCTTCAAACTTCTGTTTAATTATGTTTTAACATTATATGTTTTGTAACCGTATGTTCAGTAATATATAATGTTATTAGCGGAGACAAACCTAGAAAGTAGCCTGGGCATTGAGTTGCATTCATTAATATATGTTTACTGATTGATAAGAGGAAAAGTGATGTTTCAGAATCATTCTTGTTGAACGAGGCTTTATTTACACATGTGCTTGGTTTAAAATGACAGCTCATTAGCATCACAAAAGAGCAACCCCTTCCACAGCCAGTCTCTAAATATAGCCCTCTTAAATAATGTAGCAGCACTCAATAATTAAGTGCAATTGTTCTGGTCAGAAAAGAGGAACTTTTTTATGGTGTCACGGTTAAAGTGGGGCAAGACGGCTGAGGTGTCGTCTTGCCAAGCAGGAGAGCGGAATCAAGAGGCTTCAATTACCATTCATTAAATCACCCATCAAAGACCATGCTTGCATTTAATAGGTTTTTAAGGGCTAACAAATATGTAAATACGTGTAAAACTAACCATCAGCCCTCATTCACATGTATAACCTCACAGCTTTAAATCTAACACAAGACATGTTTGTGTTTGTGTGTCTTTCTTTGTGACAAAAAGTAATTTTACAAAACACTTACTTGAAATGGTATGAAGCATTAAAGCACCAAAATAAATGTATGAAAGTGATTTTATGAGTGGAAAGCATTTTATATGCATACAAGTGTTTAACTTGCTGTTTCAAATCACTTTTGTGAAAATAAAATGTAAAAATGTAATTCATTTTAACGTTATTTAAAAATTGCATTGTACCTAAAATAAATAAACTAATAAGTGATTATACAAAAAATATGTTAATGTAAAATGGGTAAAATAAGTAAAAATAGTATGTAGGAAAGTGGCAGGGTGTACATTTTTTATTCTGTATATTAATACTATTTTATTTCATTTATAAAACCATTTTTAATTTATTTATATGAGATTAGTTTGTTTTAGGGGTTTCACAGTTATTTTTAAATAGATTTTTTTTAAATATACCATTACTATTTATTGTTTGTGTGTGTTTGTGTGTGTGTGTGTGTGTGTGTGTGTGTGTGTGTGTGTGTGTGTGTGTGTTTGTACATATTAGTGGTTGTATTCTGTAAATCAAAGTAAAAAATGCATGATAGTCATGTTTTGCTCAGAAAAAATAAACAGGAAAAAGCGGTTTATTACCAAAAAAATAAACTGAGAAAAGTTGTTTATTGCTTTAGTTGATATTTTCAAATATATTTTCAAAAATATTATTCAATGTCATACTTGAATGATTATAAAAAGTAAACATGTGATGTGACTTAAATGTCAAAACAAATTAAAAAAAAATGCCCAGGTAAATCACACATGAAATACAAAGATCTGTTATGAGTCGACCTTTATAGGGGATCCATGGCTCTGTAAATTGTGTACAGTGTCCAAGTCTCAGCATTTGATCTGCTTAAGTATACTATATTGGAAAATAACATATCATATTATTCAATAATATAATATAATATAAGTAATCACGGAAACCAAAATAATGATAATGATGATGGACATTTTCAAAAAAAATAAAAAAAAATAAAAATAAAAATAACAAAAAACAGTAAAGAGTAAAGAAAATAAGAAAAAAAAACATGGCTGTACATGGTCTTGAGATACAGATGTGTCCAAGTATCAGCGTTTCATCTGTTTAAATATACGTTTATACTACGATATTGTACATTAGTATACTATATAATTCAAAATAATATAATAAAATAAAATAAAATAAAATAAAATATAATATAATATAATATAATATAATATAATATAATATAATATAATATAATATAATATAATAGTGCTGTCGCCTCACAGCAAGAAGGTCGCTGGTTTGAGCCTCGTCTTGGTCAGTTGGTGTTTCTGTGTGGAGTTTGCATGCTTTCACTGTGTTCGCGTGGGTTTTCTCTGGGTGCTCCTGTTTCACCCACAGTCCAGACATGTGGTACAGGTGAATTGGGTAGGCTAAACTGTCCGTGGCATATGAATGTAAATGAATGTGTATGGATGTTCTCCAGAGATTGGTTGCGGCTGGAAGGGCATCCGCTGCATAAAACATGTGCTGGAAAAGTTGGCGGTTTATTCCGCTGTGGACCCCTGATTAATGAAGGTACTATGCCAAAAAGAAAGTGAATGAATGAATAAAATAATATAATTTGTGATAATAAGGGGAACATTACCAAAACAAAAAAATAAAAACTACTTGAAAAAGAAAAGAAAAGAAAAGAAAAGAAAAGAAAAGAAAAGAAAAGAAAAGAAAAGAAAAGAAAAGAACACAGCTGTCCATAGTCTTGAGAAAGAGATATTTCAACAAGTGGTCGTGACTTCGGATCGGATCAACAGGTTGAAGGCTGAACAGCAGCACAGCACTACAAACTGAGCTGCATTTACTACTACAAGCTCACTGCGAGAGATGAATTGACACAAACGACGCGACATTCCAGTTCAATTTACAGTCGTTCCAGATGTTTAAATCAAGACATGCATCACTGAGCTTATAGATGTCCACCATGTGGGCAAGACTTTAGCAGCTCTGTTAGGCTTAATGGCCAGAACACGAACAGCAAAACGAACAAAGCAACAGGCTTTGGATATAAAACAACGTGTCTTACCTTGCTTCGTATTTGCCCGGAGGTTGACACTTTCCTGATGAGTTTCTGCGGCCCTTCCTGCTCTCCTTCGCTGTCGGATGACTCGTCCACCACCGGCCCCGAGCCCCCGACAGCCCCCACGGCGGGAACCCCCGAGGCGGACGCAGCTGCTTTCTCCGGCTCCTGCGGGGGAAAGTCACAGCACTCCGGGTTAGGAACGCGCTCAGCCGCTCCCTTCCTCTCCGCTGGGATGCGGGAGCTGGACAACGGCTGGAAAGCGGTTCTCTTGGCCGTCATGCTGTTGCGTTTCTCAGCCCAACCGCGACTCTTCAGACATTCACTTAGTCCGAGATTTTAAATGAAACTTTCCTAGCCTTGAAGCGTGCATTTTGACGGCGGAACACGGCTGGTTCTCCTGACCGCATGAAGGCTGGCGGAGGGCAGAGACGCTCGAAGCGGGAGGAAATCTCTGTAGCAAACCCTAGCGGCGGACGGGTATCTCACAAACTATAGCAAGGAGGATACAGCAACAGATGTTTCTCCTGTAACATTATAGCCATAAGAAGACGGAGCCTCAAAACCTGGTCAAATAGACTAGTTTGGACACTGACGCGCTTTCTAAAAGCAACGTGCTGTCAGAGGAAAGATTCTACCTAGACGCTAAAAACATTTAGTCGAATATATTTAACGTTATAATAAGCATATGTACAGTGTCGAAAATAATCTGGGCCCTATGCGTTGCGGTAAAAAAAATATCGTTTTGTCACTCAGACTTGTACTGAAATGTTGTTAATGTACAAATATAAACATTATAAGTTAGAAAAGTAACGATATAACATTGCACTATAAATGAAAGAATCCCCCGCTTGAGACTGTAACCATAGCAACAGTTGAGGGTTGGAGCTATTTAATGCAGGATGTGACATTATAACAACTGAACAACATAACATAAGTAAATGTAATCAATTTATTACACATTTAGCCTACATGTCGGTAGTAGTTCGCCAATAAGTTTAGTATAGATGTTATTGTTGATTTGCTGCAGACGCTAAAATAATAATTAGGATGCATAACATCTCTCTCTCTAAAAAAATTAACATATAATGTTTGTCTTATCTTATTTTCACACATTTTTGCCATGGAAATAAAATAAGCACATAATTGCACACATTTACAATTAAATAGAATAACATTATTGTAATAAAGACTATATGCTTTGCTGGCAAGTAGTCTTTAATTGGTGTCTTGGGAATTAAAACAGTTGACCTAACCTATTGATTGCTTTTATTGATCAGTTGTTCAAATCGTCACATTCAGTAGCCTACATTTATAAAAATGTCACTAAAGAGCTTTAACTGTCTCTAATTTCCAACATCTCTAAATGTAAGGGCTATTGTCACCAAATAGCCTACACAAGAGTATAATTTGCTTCCACTATATCCACATGAAAATGGGTCATTGCGGTTGGCACATTTCCTCCCCATTGTAACTTTGAATAGCTAACAGCAGCTGATAGCAAATGTCACTGAGAAAACCCACGTCACAGTTATGTTTCCTGATTTATTCGTTTTAAATAAAAAGTACAACTTCCTGTGTTCCAAAAATAAACACACAAAATGACAACTAATAAGTTTGATAGACTATATATAACTTAACATTTACATGACTAACCTAAAGGCTAATGGCTAACGTTAAATCAGTCCCGTTATAAAGTTCATCGGTTTGTACAGAGGAATGTAAACTCCCCTAATGAGCGACCGAACTCAGCTGAAGATGGAAGATTCTTCGCGTATCACTGCAGCGATCTTGCATTCACATCGCGATAAGCCACAATCAGATCTAAAATCCCCAATTAACGCATATAAACAGTGATCTGCATGTATGTAAGGTTATACAGGATCTCTTTGACGTCTGTCAGAATAGAAAATGTTCAGCAGTACTGACCAGTTCTTCCCAGGCAGGGCTGCGAGTATATTGGCAGTCATCTTCCATATTCTCCTAGTCCCCGTGCTCAGGATCTGTCCGCACACGCTTTCAGCACAAATGACGCGCTACTTTTACTCGTATAATCGGGCATATGGTTCAAGTCTATTACACCGAGTGTTATTTCCCTTTCTCCACTCCTCCCTACTCTATCAGGGTCTCCCAGAGGCTGAGCCTGCTTCTCTCCACGTGATAAATGTCAGATCCCTATAAGGAATTGGAGCGCAATTTGTGACGTCACGGAACCTGCTTTTTATCCCACTTTTTCAAAGACGTAAAAACAATAAACAAGCCTTGGCTTAAAAACGCAAGACTGTTTAGAAAGACATGTTTATTTTTGCTACAAACATGACATGCCAGTATAAATATTATTCTAATTTTGTTATTTTAGTTAAGCAAAAATTGTGCCAAAATTGTGTTGACCAAATTTTAATCATGCCCTTAAAACTCAAAACACTCTCTTTTTCTATAGATATTTTTTATTTCTCTGCTGATTTATTTTGTAAATAAAACTTCTTAATTATTTAAATACAATAAATGCACAAAAAAAAAAAAACACAAGTTCACAAACTAACAGTTAATTAGCCATATTTATGATTAGATTTTAATATCTGGATGTGAAGCATGGAGCGAACATTCCATTATTCACGGTTTTTCATTATCCCTGGTTTTGAAATTAAGTTTAACATTCATTCATTCATTTAATTTTCGGCTGAGTCCCTTTATTAATCTGGGGTCACCACAGCGGAATGAACTGCCAACTTATCCAGCATATGTTTTACGCAGTGGATACTCTTCCAGCTGCAATCCATTACTGGGAAACATCCTCATTCACACACACCTCAGACAATTTAGCTTACGGCATGTCTTTAGACTTGTGGAGGAAACTGGAGTACCCAGAAGAAATCTACGCAAACACTGGGAGAACATACAGTACAAACTCCACACAGAAACGTCAACTGACCCAGCTGAGGCTCGAACCAGCTACCTTCTTTCTGTGAGGCGAACGTGCTTCCCACTAGGATACCATGCAGCGCTCAAGTGTAACATTAAACTCTTAATGGCTTTAGACAGATTTTACAACATATGATAAAAAAAGTATATAAAAAAAAATGTATATATTATTTTGGCATTGGCCGGGCCCCCCTAATTTCCCAGGTTCCGCTTATTAGTTAAGTCCACCCCTGTTAGTTGTTTAAAACATTATTCGTTGGGTCATGAAGAGTTAAGAGAAACAAACATTGTATATTTACATTTGACACTATTTTTGCATCAAAATAATTTATTTGTCTAGCTGATTTACTAAGATGATGTCTGTTGATGTCTTACTCTATACATATTAATTTTATTCTATTTAATCTTAACCATAAAGTAAAACTTTTAAAAGTTGATAACAGAATAACAATGGTAATATGAATAATAATAAGAAGAATAATAATAAGAAGAAGACGAAGAAGAAGAAGAGGAAGAAGAAGAAAAAAGAAGATAAAAAAAAAAAAAAAATATATATATATATATATATATATATATATATATATATATATATATATATATATATATATATAATAGACAATCATTCTTTCTTATTTTATAATAAAACATATCCCATTAGTTGTTTAAAACATTTTTGTAATGTAAATGATTATTAATAATAGGACAATTGTCTTATATATCAAGATGATTTCGAACTGTTTTATTCATTAACTATTAACTATTCATTATTTTATATCCAAACGGTCTACACATGTTTGCTTGTAAAGTTTAGATAACTGTTGCCAATCCAAGTTGAACCTTAACAGTTAACAAACATCTTCGAAATCTTGACTGTAATTACTGTATCCTCAACAGAAGCAACATTTGTGAGTTATTCCTAGAAATCAGGGCTTCAGTTGACCATAGACTGTAAACAAAATATTCTTGACCAATCCCTTAACTGATTATCCAAGTTTGCTTCTTTTGGTGTATTGTTCATTTGCTCTTATAGATGTATTTTTTATGCATAAATGTAAATGGGCAGTGGAAAAAAAAAAAACTAATTTTACTCACTTTAAAATATAAGTAGGTCATTACCTGTGTACAACAAAATAAAAAAAACAAAGCACAAAGAACTGCTAATTATCTTAAAGCCTTAAATCTTCTCTTTGAATTATTGTATTATATATATATATATATATATATATATATATATATATATATATATATATATATATATATATATATATATATATATATATATATATATATATATATATATATATATATATATATATATATATATATATATATATATATATATATATATATATATATATATATATATATATTTTTTTTTTTTTTTTTTTTTTTTTTTTTTTTTTTACATTTTATTTACTTTTATGTCAATTTAATGTTATGCTATTGCCCCTGAATATTCTGTGTTCTAAAATTGCCAAAAAGAAAAAAAACGGTTTGCTTCTCTTGGAACCCATGAAACAGCAGCCCGTTCCACACGGAGGAGTTATTGAATGGACAGTTTCTGTCCTTCGTTGTAATCCCTCCGTCTAGTGCTGTTCACCGGTGATGTAAACACTCATGAAGTGACGCGAACATGATGAAATAACAGTGGACACTTAACGGTATATGTGGTCTTTTTTTTATCCTATAAAGCTTCAGAATGCACTCGCGTATTTTATTCAAAGGAACGGCAGCAGCCGTTGCTGCGAGAAGGATTCGCCATATATTGGGACCCTTGATGTCAAAAGAAGGTTGGAACTGTAGCGCACATGAGGTCAAACTCCTTAACACATCATCAGGTACTGGATCCGTCAAAGTTAAAGTCTGCTTATGTGATATAATATAATTTCTTGTCAGCAAAGACTGTTGTTAAACAGATGCAGCGACCTTTAACGTATACTGTCACTTTCACGTGTCAAACAGAGCTCACATTTTCTTTTTAAAATTCTGTCAGATTGTATATCTTTAACGTTTCCATAAATATAGAAATGTTATAAATGAATCCGCTTTCGGTTTACAGGGTTTGTTTTTTAGCAGAATACTTAATATGTTGTATGTTTGTTTGTTTATGCATGCATGCATACATACATTTGCTTTGTTTTGTTAAGGAACACTTTCGTTTTCTTCACAGGTGACACTGTGAAGATAGGAGAGATCTCGTATGTCCTCAAAACCCCCAAAAATCCAGAACTTGTGCCAGTGAATCACAGTATGTGCAAGTTATAAAACACCTGTAGTTGCTGTAACAACACCTGACTCCATTAAAGGCCAAAAAAAAAAAAAACCCAGACCATGAAAAGCAATTTAAAAAACATAAACATACAGCTTACAGAAGTGACACTAACTCTGAGAAAACAGTTGCAAGATTTTATGCACAAGCCACGTTGTTTTGATACTAATTTAAATTGTTTAGACTGAAGTTAACCTTTTTTGTCATCAACAATCACTCTACAGTTTAGACCCAGTAAATGTTACGATGTTGCATAGAATAATAAAAGGGGTAATTGACTCAACTTTAAAATGAGTTATAATTTACTTATCATCCTATTTCAAAACTGTTAGTTTCTTCTTTTGAACACAAAGATATTCTAAAGAATTTCCATTGACCTCCATAGTATTTTTTTGTTCCTACTATGGATATCAGAGCTTTTTCCAAAATTCTTCAGAATATATTTTGTTTCCCACAGAACAAAGAAATAAAAGTTTACAATCACTTAAGCATGAGTACATTGTAAGGAATGTTGAACTTACTTTAACATAAGAGAAGATCAGTATTGAGTATCAGAAATTTGACAGGATGCAAGTAATTTAGTAATCTACAATTTAAGTTGTTAACTTTATGGTCGTGTAATTGTTAGCTTTTTCTATTTCCCTGTATGTCAACACATTACACTTTCTCAAACTTGACATAATAGGCAAATGTTGGCATCGCCTCAATATTTAATAATTATTTGAATCATAATTATGTCTACAATGTTTGTGTGTATGTGTAATTAATGTTTATTTTATTATATTAATTTATTTTTTGCAGTGATGGAGGCCTTGCCACAAATGGTCACCCAACACCTACGCTGGATAATGCAGAAGGACCTTCTTGGACAGGATGTATTTCTCATTGGTCCT